CGATTAGTAAAGGCATATTAGTTTTTTTATATACTTTTACTGACCAATCAAATACAGCAGATACGAGATCTTTTAAATGTACTTAAAAGTGCCTATATGTGTCACTACAACATAAAAAATACAGAAAATGGTAACTAGCTGTGGTCACAGGAAAAAAAGCCACAACATTTTTAATATCCAAATACAATGTAAAATTATACGACAAAAAAAAAACATTCTTAAGTTATTTATTTATTTATAGCATGATGCTATTCGCCTGGTTTACCACTTACCTGAAGAACATATCTGACCTGAGGAACGTGGTGCCTAACCTGACCTCACATGTGATCAGTCTGGATTACGATCCTGGATGCTCCTCTAACATTTCGTAAATTATATATTGAATTTAATAACACATAATCTAATCTAAGGATTTCTTCATTAAGGTTCGTAGTGTCATGCTTTTTGATCAAAGAGCACTATACAAACAGTCTGTTAACTTGACAAGTATATTTATCTATAATGCAGAGTCAAGTGCACTTTTCAGGCATATACGAGGTCAATCATCACATGAATGAGTGAAATAATTCAATAATTTAACTTCTATTATATGAACTTAAAAAAATTATAAACATAAATTTTCAAATTGTGACTTTTCCACTACATTCCTAGTTTGTTTGGGTCTACAAGCTACAATCTGGTTCAGGGTTGTTCAACTGGCAACCCGTCAACCACCAGGAAAAATTATATATAAAAAAAATGTAGCTCATAACAACAGAGCTAATTTTAGTACCTTTGATTTGGGGGGGGGGGATAATTTGTTTAATTTTTGTCATCTACTACTGCATGACATTTGTTTTTAATACCACTAAACTTGAATAGATCTATTACGTGTATTAACATAGACAACAATTACAGTGTGGTCCATTCAGACAGCAGTTCCAATACATGACACGCTTTTAGCACTAAGTTGGACAACCTTGATGTAGCTCAACCAGATATGAAAATACGAATTAACCGATATTCCTGAGAATACAGTAGAACAAAATAACTGCGCGTAACGTGATCTTGTTCATGCACTGTCCATTAGCTGAAGTGCTTTTCATCTGCAGTTTACTCTAGAATCTAGATGTGGAGATTTTGAAACCACTGCCTTACTCTTCACGCGAAAATAGAAGCGCACTTGTCTTAAAGTTGTTAATATAAATTTCCTAAGCCAGCACAAATTAAAATACATTTTATCATCGCATTCTGAAGCAAACGCTCAAGTTTCATCATGTGTAAGTTGTTATATGATGAAAGGTATTCTTATGACATACCACCCACACCTTCACACCTCCCAAGATAAACACAAGGGCCTGTACTATCAGTTTGTCCATCCATTAAATATATATATATATCATACTGGTTACAATATGAACTCATACTTTATACCACAATCAGCTAAACCTGTGAACTGAATAACCATTTTGTTAAACCGTTGATATACGTCATATACACGTATTTTTATAACAGTAATCTGTAATTGTATATTTTTTCATAGTAAATTTCGAAATAATTTTTGACATTTTAAAAAAGAAAACGATATACACTTTTTATGATGATATTAACCTATAATTTAGATCTCCGAACGACATTAAGTTTCATTAGGCTTAAGTAGTACAGAAAAAATATAAATTTTATATAATCAACTATACTCTGATACAAATTAATGATATGTAACCAATTAAAAGTAGTCTTAACACAGCACGTAAAAGCAACGAACGACACCGATATTGTTGTCGCGTGCCTTAACACAAAAGTGAATGAAAACGAGAGCAATAACGAGTGACATGACGTTCCACATCTTGGAATGATATTAAATGAAAGTATCGTGACATTCTCGGGGTATTTATTGTTATTTTAAGTTATAATTACTTGAAATGTTTCTACATTTCTCTTCTCTACTGAGAAGGGAGGGGTGGTGATTGTGGTTCTGTATAAATGTGGCAACACGCAAAAACAATACCGAGGAAGACAAATTTAGACTATTGTATATTGTTTTTGTTGTTGTTTAGAGGGTTTTAACATAACGCGATGATTGCATGGCCTTGTAGCTACAGAAATGTTGCATAAACAACACTATTCCAAGATATGAAAACAAAGCTTTTACTTAATCAAGCAATAAAAATCTCAAATGAAATTCATTTTAAAATTTAAGGTACTGTTTGTATTTTTGTGTGCGTGCGTGGAAAAGCGTTCAAACCATACCTGGAATCAAACACTCAATACAAATTTGAAGAAACAACTGGGGCAACCTTGGCTTACACAGAATTTACTATTGCACCTACTTGATTGGTGTGAATCAAGGTTGTTTTTTTCTAACTTGTCTTGTGTATTTGATACCGGTGGATGAAGACAAGAGTTATGTTTTGAAAGTTGTTGCATATCTTATAATAGTAATAATAACACAGTAGATTACAAGGCATAAACATGGCGTCTTTCCACATTGACAATGTTCTTGTTGTAGCATGAAGCTCCAGTAAGTGATAGGAAACTAGAAAGTAAAAGATAATCTTAATACCACGCACGTACGCAGGAGGAGGAGGAGTATAGGGGGGGGGCGAACCCCCTTGGGGGGTTTAAAACAATGCTCGTATAGTTATAGTGCAGCTACTTATGGTACTTAATGTTTTATACATAGTTTTCATTCTTCTGATGAATGTTTTGAATTTCGCGCAAAGCTACACGAGGGCTATCTGCGCTAG